CCCACACAACGTCTGTTGGATTTGACCTTGCACTTAACAGTCCTGAGCTTACCCAACAGGGTTGCTAGGACTCCTTCTGTCACTTTCTAAAGAGACATTCACAGACATACAAGAAAAGAATGAGAATGACCATTCACATTTGTAAATGCTGGCCTGCACCATCTCATTAAAAACCCACAATAATCCTGACAAATATTTACCGCAATTATCCCTCTTTGGGAGCAAAGAAAAAAGAATAATCTCGGCAAGGGTCAATAGCTTGCCCACAGTCACTCTGCTCACCAACAGAATTTCAGCCCGGTGCTATCTGATTCTAAATGCTTGAGCATTTGTGTCATTCCATCTCTACTGCGTTGGTGACAAGGTACATGTTAAGGAAGACAAAAAGGTGGTAAATGAGCAAACTACATCTAGCCTCTGAAATGTGAGAGGCACTTGCTCAGATGGGTGGCTATCCTGGTAGCTTTAGGAATTAGTTGTCCCAATGCTTCTACTCCTGCCACTGCCAATTTTTCTATTTTCAGAAGGCTCATAGAAAAAACACAGAGGCCACTAGGATAAGAGTTGAAGGTGACCCCGGATTTATTTTTCTCTAAAGTTCAGAGTTGCTATTGTTAGGTGCCCTTGAGTCAGCTCTGACTCATGGCTGCTCTATGCACATGCAAAAAATGAACACGCCCAGTCCTGCAGCATCCTCACAATTGTTGTATGCCATTATGTCTGAGCCCGTTAGTGCAGCCACTGGGTCAATCCATCTTTTGGGGGGGTATTCCTCTTTTTCACTTCCCCTCTACCATGCATGATGTCTTTCTCTAGAGATTGGTCTCTTCTAATAAAAGGTCAAAGGTATTTGAGATAAAGTCTCATCATTTTTGCTTCTAAGGAGCTTTCTAGCTCTACTTTCAGACAGATTTGATTGTTCTTTGGGCAGTTGGTGGTATTTTCAATATCCGTTGCCAGCACCAATTGCATTGATTCTTCTTTTATTTTCCTTATTCAACATCCAAGTTTCACATGCAAATGAGGCAATTGAAAATACCATGACTTGGATCAGGTGCACCTTAGTTCTCAAAGTAATTTCCTTGATTTTCAGCCCTTTAAAAAGATCTTGTGTAGCAGATTTACCCAACACAATGTGTCATTCTATCTCTCACATGCTGCTTCCATGAGCATTGATTGTGGATCCAAGCAATATAAAATTCTTGACAAGTTCAATCTTTTCTCCATTTATCATAATGTCACTATTAATCCAGTTGTGAGGATTTGGGATTTACTTACAGTGAGTTGTAATCCATACTGAAGGTTGTAATCCTTGAATTTCATCACTAGGTTAGACTGGGTTGTCTAAAGAAACAAAACCAGTGACACTCTTTTTGTATAAAAGGGTCATAGGGGGGAGACAAGCCAGTGCAGTGTAACACCGATGAACCATACAACTTTCCTCTAGTTCTCTAATGCTTCCACCCCTCCCCCACTACCCTGACCCCAATTCTACCTTACAAATCCGGTTAGACCAGAGTATGTTCACTGGTACAGATCAGAACTAGAAACACAGGAAATCCAGGACAGATAAGCCCCTCAGGACCAATAATGCAAGTAAGCATACCAGGAGGGTAAGGGGAAGGTGGGGGGAGAAAGGGGAAACTGATCACAATGATCTACCTATAACCCCCTCCCAGAGAGATGGACAACAGAAAGGAGGGTGGAGGAAGATATCGGTCAGTGTTAGAGATGAAAAATAACAATAATTTATAAATTATCAAGGGTTCAGGAGGGAGGGAGGGTGGCGGATGGAGAGATAAAAGAATGAGGAGCTGATACCAAGGGCTCAAGTAGAAAGAAAATGTTTTGAAAATAATGATGGCAACAAATGTACAAATGTGCTTGACACAATGGATGGATGGATTGTGATAAGAGTTGTACAAGCCCCTAAGAAAATGATTTTTTTTAAGTAATTTAATATTAAAAGGGCATCCCAGTGCAGTCCAACACAAGTCCATGAGTTTGATGCTAACCGGAGCCTCCTCCAGACTCAGGTAGATGCAGGCAAATGATGCAGAAAGGCGAAGCAGGATCCAGGAAGATCACACGTAGGTGCATACAGAGTCTCATAGATCCAGGGTCACATGGCAGGACATTGTCAGCTCTCTGAGTTGGGCCTACCATATGGCCCTACCCCTATAGACAGCCACAGAGTCGCAACCAGCAGGAAGGTGAAGGAGGAAAAAGAGAGAGGAGTCCCCAGTGTCTCTCTTATAAAAAGGCCACACCTCCCAGGAAGCATCATTGCCCTGTGACCTGACTGGTAGTTTGGACTCCACCCCTGCACTTCCATACACCTTCAAGTTGACATAAAATCTAACCACCACAATCATCAAGTGCTTCAACTCCTCCTCACTTTCACCAAACAAGGTTCTGTCATCTCCGTATCCCAGGTTGTTAATAAGCCTTCCTTCAATTCTGATTCCAGATTCTTCTTTATATAATCCAGCTTCTCTGATTATTTGCTCAGCACACAGACTGAATAAGTATGGAGAGACGATACAACCCTGGCATACATACATTCAGATCTTAATTCTAATTGGTGATATGTCAACTACATCAACAATTGGGGTGAAGATCAAGGAAAAGGTTATGTACTTAGACATAATAAACTGGGGATGAAACAATGGGGGAAAAAACTTCAATAGGAATGCAATCTAAACCTAATTTGAGAGACATTCTGCAAGGTATCTGAGCAGTACTCATCAAAAGTGTCAAGGTCATGAAAGACAAGAAAAGCCCAAGGAAATAAGATTGGGTTGAAGGAAGCTATAGAGAAGAAATGACAGAACCAAATGTGGGGATAGAACTGTGGATTGTACCCCAGAAGAGGAAAAAGAACATTGGGAGGAAAACTTAAGACATTTGAATGGGGTCTGTGGTTTCATTAATAGCATTGCGTCAATGTTAATATTCTAATTTTTGATAGTGAAATTATGTCTATGTAATGAGCAGAGCTGCCAACCACAAAGTCAGCAGTTCAAACCCATCAGCCATTTGGCAATAGAAAAACCTGGCTTTCTACTCCCATAAAGTGAGTCTCCAAAACCCACAAGACAGTTCCATTACGTCCTATAGGGTTGCAATACGTCAGAATGGACACAATGGCAATGACTTTGGTTTTTGGAAGTCTTAAAGCCATAAGAAAGAGAATCTTCTACTTTTGTGCTGACCAAATATGATATCTTTCCCCAGGAATTAATTTATCCTTATAACGTGTCCAAAGTATGCCATTTGAAGATAACTATCTAGCCAACTGATTGGAAGAGACCCATTTTTGTGCCCATTCTTAAGAAAGGCGACCCAACAGAATGCTTAAATTATAGAACAATATCATTGATATCACATGCAAGTTAATTCTTGGTGATAATTATTCAAAAACAGTTGCAGCAATACATTGATAGGGAGTTGCCAGAGGTTCAGACCAGCTTCCGAAGAGGACATGGGATAAAGGGTATCATCACTGATGTCAAATGGCTCTTGACTCAAAGCAGAGAAAGCTGAAAGACAGTCACCGGTGTCCTATAGACTATGCAAAGGCATTAGACAGTGTGGATCACAATAAATTACGGATACCGTGATAAGAATGGGAATTCCAGAACACTTCATGTGCTCATGTAAAATTTGTACATGGATCAGGAGGCAGTTTCGTGAACAGAAGAAGAGAAAATGGCATGATTTAAAATCAGGAAAGGTACGAGACCCCCAAAAAATGATTTTTAAGAGCTCAGGAAAGGTGTGTGCCAGGGTTATATTCTCTCACCTTACTTATTCAAACTCTGTGCTGAGTAAATCACCAGAGAAACGGGTTTATATGTGGAAGAATGTGACTTCAGGACTGGAGGAAGGCTTACTAACAACCTGCGGTGTGCAGATGACACGATCTTGCTTGTGAAAGTGAGGAAGACTTGAAGCACCCGCTGATGAAGATCAAGAATTATAACCCTATTAGATGACATAGCATCTAGGGTCTTAAAGGCTTGAAGTTAAACAAGCAGCCATCTAGCAGGGAAGCAACAAACCCCACATGGAACAAGCACACCTGCCTGTATGCTCACGGGATATCAAAGGGATCAGGTGTCAGGCACTGAAAGAGCCCAAACAATCATATTGATGTAAACAAGGAGGGTCAGTGTGGAGACCCAAAGTCCACCAGTAGACAGCTGGACATCCCCTCCCAGAAGGGTCACAAGGAAGGGACGATTCAGCCAGGGTGCAGTGTAGCACCAATGAAGCACACAACATTCCTCTAGTTCTTTAATGCTTCCTGCCCCCCACTATCATGATCCAGTCCTACCTTACAAATCCAGCTAGACCGGAGCATATACACTAGTATAGATAAGAGACCTTAACACACAGAATCCAGGCCACATAACCCCCTAAGGAACAGTAATGGGAGTAGCAATACCATGAGGGTAGGGGGAGGGTGGGGGGACATGGAGGAGAGAGGGGGAACTGATCGCAATGATCAACGTATACCCCCCTCCCAGGGGGACGAACAGCAGAAATGTGAGTGAAGGGAGACAGCAGACACTGTAAGAAATGAAAATAACAATAATTTATAATTTATCAAGGGTTCACGAGGTTGGGAGGCTGGAGGAGGGAGGGAAAAAAGAGGAGCTGATACCAAGGGCACTAGTACAAAGAAAATGCTTTGAAGATGATGATGGCACTCTATGCACAAATACGTGTCCTCTGTCTTTCGTAACGCCTGTCACAGCTCCCCTTTAAAATTTCTCTCTGTAATTATTGCACTGCCTTGTCCCCATAACGTGATCACCACGATTATAGCTGGACTTGATAATCGGTTTAGTCTGTTAAACTAATGCCAGATCTAATAATAATAATCATTCAATAAATCTTTACTGAATCGGTGAAGAAGTCATTGAAGGACGGTCATTTTATAAGTTTCAAAAACAGAAAAAACACCTAAAATGACGTCTCTTCCTCTCTTTCAGCTGTCTCCTATATATAATCTGATTCCAGTGAAAATGAAGGATGCGCACCAAAAGAAACAAAATTTGGAACGCTCTATAGAAGATTATACCAACGAGTTCAGTGTGCGCAAGTGCCGCCCATGCCACAATGGTGGGACAGTCGTCCTGCTGAACGGGCAATGTCTGTGCACCTGCCCACTGGCATTTAGAGGACTTGCCTGTGAAATGCAGAAATCGTAAATTCCTCAAGGTAAAAAAAAAAGCTTTTCTATTTTCTTTCTCATACTCCTTTCTGGTATTCATGGTTGGGTGGGGGAGGGGGGCGGTACCTACACCTTGGGTTATTTAATTTGAAGACTAGCTCTTCATTTAATTATATTAAAGTCCTAACTTATCCGTGGAAGACCAGAGAAAAATGGATTCCCTTGAGTTGTGGTGATGTGGAGGAACGTTGAATCACTGTGGACTGCCTGAAAAACAAACAAATCTGTCTTGGAAGAAGCTAGCATGTTCTTTAGAATCAAGGCTGGGGAGCCTTCATCACACAGACTCGGACGTGTCAGGAAAGACCAGTCCCTGGAAAAGGGTGTCATGTTGGGTAAAAGAGAGGAGGAAGCCCTTCCAGGAGATGGCCTGGCTGCAACAACGCACTGAAGCATAACTGAGTGAGGACGCTGCAGGACACCAGGTGGCGTTGTCCCTAGTGTCTCAGTGAGGCCCTGTGGTCACAGAACCAACTCATGACACCTAACACAGACAACCAACTGCAGATATGCTGGCTGATTGCTGTTATTGTTGTTGTTGTTGTTTTGTGTATGTGTGTGTGTGTGTGTGTGTGTGTGTGGTTGATTTTTAACACCTGGCCTGAGGTGATCCCCACCGCCTCCCTGCTGCAGCACTGCACCTGGGTGGAATCTTCCAGACCAAATCTGTCCCTTAAGGCAGCTGTGCTGGACATTGAGATTTCTGTAGAAGACTCGGTCCAGCTGTCCACCCACACCAGGCCCACCTGCTGAGATTGAAATCTCCGTCTCTACTGTTTTGCTATGATGGCTGCAACAAGATATTAGGAAATTGAAAACAAGCCCTCACTGCGGTACGTGAAGTCCCCCTGGACACATGGAAAGACTGCACGGGGTTTCCAGGACTGCGCAATTGTTAGGGAAGCAGACTGCCCATGTTTCTCTCGTGAAACAGCTGCTGGATTCAATCCTCCGTCTTTTGGGTGGTGGCTCAGTGTTTTAACATCCGTGCCACCAAGGCTCCTCCGTCACAAGCAGTGCCTTAAAATACGAGAAATGCTTTCCCTTAAAATTCTGGAGGCCGAAGTCCAAGCGGGGTCTCCCTGGACTGAGAGAGCACTGTCAGCAGGTCTGCGAAGTCGCCAAGCCTTTGGGGAGAATCCGTTTCCTTGTCGTGTCCAGTGTCCAGCCTCTCGGGCGGGCGGCATTCCGCGCAGTCCTTGTCCCTGGGCCTCGCCCATGGCCTTCAGGGAGATCCCTGGCCTCACTTCCCTTTCGCCTCTTCTTTGTGACATGGCCCTCTCCCCGCCTTTCGGAAGGACGCTTGTTATTAGATCTAGGACCTGGTCCACCTGCCTAGAGAATCCAGGCTAATCTCCCTATCTCAAAATTCATGGTTTCATCGGTCCTACAAACTCTCTTCTGCCATGGGGAATTAGAGTCACTGCGTCCAGAGATTGCTGTTATTGCCCAAGACAGACTATCCCAGGGTCTCAACCATCAATCAATCCAGGGGTGCTACTCGCCCGCTTTCAACACTGTTGTTGAAGCACCAACTCCTGAAATTGGCATGTCACTCCCTCTGCAGACTTCTGCCTGTGTGACTTTTTAGATTCATAAACCCCCATTCCAACCCGCACATCAAAACTCCAGATTCATAAACCATGTCACATGTTTTATGTCAGCGTAAAACAAAACCTACGCCCACACCACATTATTGTCTCTGCCTCCACTGTCTTCTAACTTCCTTCTCAATCCACCCAGGCGTTGTCTCCCTCATACACGAGTGTCTCTTGCCCCTTCCGGCCCACTGGTTGTCAGCCCTGCTTGACATTTAGATTGGCCCTTTTAAATACAAATAAAAAGAGAGCCATCCTGAGTCAAGTAAGCCAGACTCACTACCATGGAGCCTGGGCACTACAGTGTTGTTTTAATCCTCAAGTTATTCGATTCTGTGGTCCACGTGGAAAGGCTCAATTCTTTTTTTATTTTATAACAGTGTTTTGGTATATACTTCATACATCATACAATTAATCACTCAATTGTATTAAGATCTGTGCAGTTATCATCATGATCAGTTTCAGAACACTTTCCTCTAGTACTTATTGTTGTTAGCACCTCATTTGCCCCCATTATCCCCTGCCATGCCTCTAGACAATTATCAGTCCAGTTTCTGTCTCAATAGTTCTACCTATCCTTGATTTCATATACAGAGTAGAACTGCTCCTGTGCGTTTTCACGATTATAACTACTTCAGGAGTGGAAAGCCTTGTCTTTCTCCAGTGGAGCAGCCGGTGGTTTTGAACTGCTGACCTTGCAGTTATCAGCCCAACTTGTAACCACTGTGCCACAACTCCTTCTGTTTTTCTGTTGATGAGCATTGGGGCTGTTTCCCGCTTCTTGCTATTGTGAACTGTACTGCAGTGAACACGGAAGAACGCACGCCTGTTCCTGTCTCTGGTTGCTTTGGGTCTATGCCCAGCAAAGGTATTCCTTGTGCTAAAAAGCCCTGCTGCTGTAGTGGTTACGGGTTGGGCTAAGCCTCAGAAGGAAGGCGGGGCTTTCTACGCTGTAAAGAGTTATGGTTTTGGAAACCCACAGGGATGGTTCTACTCTGTTCTATAGGGTCACTATGAATCGGCATTGACTCTCTGTCGGTGAGGTTTTAGTTGAAATGTTTAGCGGTACTTCGGCACGTAGGGTTTTGGGTAGTGCCATATTGTGTTCTACAGTGCACAGACTGACCAGTCCATCAGCAGTGTCTAAGAGTTCCAGTCTCTTCAAATCTCCAGCCGCTGAGTTGTTGTTTTGTAAAGTGGGCTACCATTGTGGGTGTGTGATGATATCGCATCACTGTGCTGAGAAAAGCTCTATTCCTGATGCAGTTCAATGATCACATATTGGAAGAAACCTTCTCTGATTGTTCCAGGTGTGTCGTTCCTTTCTCCCCGCTTCTCGTCACGTTGTCCCTTCCTACACAAGACGGAAGGGGCCTTGGTTTGGAAATGTGTCTTATATTTTAAACATCGCTCTATTCCTGTCATCTTGTGCATCACAATGGGACAGGGGGATGGTTGGATAGAGCCAAAGTTGAAGTCTTCTTAACCATGAAGATTGACCATCTTTTGCTTTCTCTAGAATTGCCACAAAAGAAAATCGAATGTTTGGCTTCCCTCAGCTCTCTGTGGATGAAAGAATGCAGGGCACAAACTAAAACCCAAACCCGACCAAGCCCTCAGTGGTCCTGGAGCTAGTCCCTGCCAAGTGACACACGTTTATGAAGAACCTACCCCTCTCCAAAGTGTTCTCTTCTTTTGAGGCCACTTTCCTTCTTTTTCTCATTAAACTCCGACTTGCATTTTTCTGTTCCCCTAAAGAGCAGACTCATCAGTGAAATACGCCAGGACTGCTTTCTCCCACGGGCAATGCCAATCTTTTGCTAACACAAAAAAATCAAATAAAAAGAGAACGTGGACTAAAAAGACTTAAAGCAATTGCCACACTGTTTTGTATGATTAATACGTTCCACCAGAGCCATCACCACAAGCTTGTACCGTGTAATTTACTGTGACTTACATCGTTGTGTCTTGTTTGGGCATCCCTTGATACATAGACACATTTAAAAGGCAAATCCTCATTGAAAACCTACCCTGTATATTTCCCACAGCTTGGCGTTTGGTTGCTAGTTCTCCAGCTTAACTGTGTGTCCAAGGGAAAAGTCTATGTTCTATATTGTAATGAAAAACTATTAGGTTAAATCAGCTCCCGTTACCAGCTTCTGAGGTGAGCACCTTTGCTTCATATAGCCTCTGTACCATCAGATATTACGTTTTAAAACCCAGCAGCATAACTCAGTCCAACCTAATACCTAGCCTCCTGGGCTATATGAAGCAAAGGTGCTCACCTCAGAAGCTGGTAACGGGAGCTGACTCTACAACTGTAGAGTTATCATCCATCCTGTGTGCTACAGGAATTGTGCTGAAGGTCTGTGAGTTTCAGATATTAGGTTTTCAGAACTCTCTATAGAAAAGTGCTCAAAATACAAGAGGGAGAAATGCAAGTTCAAAGTTAACATGTTCAATCATGTCAACTGCATGAACTCTTAGTTTTATTATTATTAATAAGAATTCCGTTATGGGATAATCAAATTTTAAAATCGTTCTTCTTACAGCACAGGAATTCTCAAGGACACATGGGATCATGAAGTAAATAAAGGCGGAGCATTTCAAAAGTAAAATTCTACAAATATTTTTCCAGGGTTTTTGAACTCATAAAAACAAATAGGAAAAAGGCACGGGGTGCATTGTAATAGACTATGGATGATGTAAAACACAAACTCACTGCCATAGAGTTGATCCCGACACACTTGGGACAACTTGGGGCACTTGGGGCAACCCAGTGGGACAGGGTGGACCTGTCCCTGTGAACTCCCGAGATAGTAACTACTTACAGGGGTGGGAAGCTCCATCTCTCTCCCAATGTGAAGATGGCACTCTAAAAATACAAGGTCCAAGGCTCTTCAGGGTCTTGAAAAGCTCTTGGAACTTGAGATACATTCTGTTCCTTGTTCCCAGGAATACTAGGTAAATCAGAAAGAATTGGGAATTTTTATGTGTGTATAAATGCTAACCCTTGATTCTAGACCATCCAGCACTGAAAGGTTTTCATGGAGAGCATGTGCATTACTGCTGCGATAATTATTAAGAAGTTCATCATGCTTATGAATTGAAAATGTCAACCTAGAGCCTGTATAGTGAGCTCCATGATTGATGAGCGTCTGTCTCACTGGGTGCCTTCCATTAGACCTGGATAAATCATTAAGCTGATCCTTGGGGGTCTGGTTTGACATTTTTAATTCATAAGGGTAGATAGAATGCTTAATAGTTATTACAGTAGTGATCCATTGAAAACACTGTACATCAAAAGCCCTCGACACTGGATTGTCTAGCAGCGGGGCTGAGGCTGTCTGCCCCTGGAAAGCTGTACACTTGCAGAAAGCGAGACCATTGGGTCTCGCTGAGTGGCATCGACTCAACATCACTGGCTTGGGTTCTTCTACTGGAAATAGGGACACAGTTTAGGTTCCATTCATGATGGCACCCCCCCCCCAACTTTCTGTCAGAGGTGGTGTCTGTGAAAGATCCTTCCCAGCAGGGTGTGCCCTTGAGACACCGGACACTGCTGCCTAACAGTGATCAGCACCCGCAAGGACGTATATTGGCCTAAGCTAAGGAAGAACCACCAGGTATGGGATGTGACCAGCACCTCCTGGAGGCAAAAAAAGAAATTACATGGCTCTGTCAGAACATGGTTTGGACAATGCCAATGCCATAGAAAGAAAGTCATAGCTTTGCCCAGGCAGACAGAGGGCCATGTACCTGCTCCCCCAGCTTCGCATGCTATCTGAGGCAACCTATGACCAAACATCACGCCACCCCACTCCAACCCCAATCAAACTCATTGCCATCGAGTTGATTCTGACGCCTAGTGACCCTCTAGGGCAGAATAGAACTGCCCCCGTTTCTGAGGCTGTAAATCTTTATGGGAGCAGAAAGCCTCATCTGTTTCTTGAGTGGCTAGTGGTTTCAAACTGCTGAACTTGTGGCCAGCAACCCAACTTGTAACCCACTACCCTATCACTAGACGACGCTAACCCACTACTTCTACAGGGACATTGTGCTTCGAAGTTCAAGTTGTACACCCGAGTCACCAGGCTCAACCATGACCACTATCAAAAGGACAGAGAGAAGCTGGGTAGGCAGTCATGTTCACCTGAGGCTGATGGGAAAGGGGACTTCAGAATCTTGCGAGCTACCCCTTTTTAGACTCAACACTTAGATTGCTAATTCATTCCACTGATTACAGAGTGGTCCGTCAATATATCCCTGTTGGCTAATGAATGCTTGAAGTGTGAGTCAGCATCTTCGCCCAGCTTTATACCATTGATTCCCCCAAAGCCTTTTTGTTGCATCGCAGAGTGACACGTCCATGGTCCCAGAAAGAAAGCCTCCAGAAATAGTCTCCAGTAGTTACTTATGAAAACAACCAAAACCTTGTAAATAAACCTGAGCTCAGGTGAATTTGATTATTTAAAAAGGAAGGAAACAATTTTCATACATATACCACAGAACAGTCAGATACCTTTCATTCTTCCCCCTGCACCCTAACTCCCTATTCCATCCCCACTACCCGCGACCGTGCTAAGTGCAGCGAACGGTAAATGAGGTGGTTTTATGGAGGAAAAAAAAAAGCAAACTTTTAAATCCTTAAGCCCCAACATATGCTCAGACATAATAGTATCTCTTTCACAGAATTGTTACATTGATAAATTGAGCTAACATATATGAAAAGTAAAAAAAGCAATCACCACCAATAGTATGGAGGGTTATTAGTTAAATCCTTCCTAATGTGGCTCTAACATTTGAGATTAGGCAGCTAAGAAGATTAGCTATGAAAATTGAAAATGACTGTATTTGAGATAGTAGCTTACTACTTTCCTCTAAATAATTGATGGACTCAAAAAATTGTTTTTTTAACTGTCTGCTGGCTTACTGTCGTGAATCAGCCTGGAATAGATAGGAACAAAAGATAAACCTGACATTGAACCATTTCACAAATTAGGTTCTAATATATTTGTTCCATAATGATATTAAAAGTACTCCTAGTTTTCTGATAGCATGAAGTTTAAAAATGTACTACAGAATTAATAAAAAGAGCATTTTGGTGCTGCGACCAAAAAGGAGATTATCACTAGGTCACACCCAATTTGAATGTTTGAAGTGTGAGTCAGTATCCTTGCCCAGATATAGAGTTTGGGGGAAGAAAAGACTTTTGTATAAGGTCAGGCAATTTGGCAGGTAGGTAGGCTTCTTGTCTAAAGCTTCCTCAATTGAATCATAAGGTACAAAAAAGACTAAGTATGAATAACTTTTAGCATGAACAAAACAAGTTGACAAGTTGATTCCAAGGTATCAAAAAAAGAAAGAAAAGAAAAACACAAACAAAGAATAAAATCTGGACATGTTTTTAAGTTGATTATTAAAAGTAAACTTGAAATCCTTTTTATTTTTTAAACACATTATTGGGAGCTCTTACAGCTCTTACAATATTCCATATATCAATTGTCTCAAGTATATTTGTATATATGTTGCCATCATCATTTTCTAAACATTTACTTTCTGTTTGAACCCGTGGTGTCATGCATCTTTTTTCCTTCCTTCCTGCCCCTCCCACCCTCGTGACCCCTTAATAAATTATAAATTATTCTTATATTCATGTCTTACACCGACTGCTGTCTCCCTTCACCCATGTTTCTGTTGTCGGTTCCCCGGGAGGTGGTTATGCATTGATCATTCCTCCCCTCCCCCCCCCACCTTCCCTACCTTTCTGGTATCACCACTCTCATCTCTGTTTCTGGGGGGTTTATCTGACCTGGATTTCGTGTGTGTCATGAGCTCTTAACTGTACCAGTGCACATGCTCCAGTCTAGCCAGAACTGAAAGACAGGACTGGGGTCGTGATAGTGGGGGATCAGGAAGCCTCAAAGAACCGGAGAAATATTGTGTTTCATCAGTGCTGTACTGCACCCTGGCTGACTCATCCCTTCCTGTGACCCTTTTCTGAGGGGATGTCCAATTGTCTACAAATGGGTTTGCGGTGTGTCTGCTCCAACCCGCCTCATTCTCAACAATGTTTTTTGTTTGCTTGTTTCCGGTCTCCTGGTGCCTGTTACCTGATTCCATCAACACCTCATGATCGCACAGGCTGGTGTGCTTCTTCCATGTGGGCTTGTTGCTTCTTGGCTAAATGGCGGCTTGCTTAACATCAAGCCTGTAAGACCCCAGATGCTATACCTTTTGAAAGCCAGGCACCATCAACTTTCTTCATCCCATTTGCTTATGTACCCATTTAATTTGAAATCTTATATGTGTATGTGGACTCTAGATAGCTTTTTAAAATAAAGGTTGGATTCCTAACCTCAAGGTCAACAGTTCAACCCACCACTCGATCCTTGGGAGAAAGATGAGACGGTGTGTTCCCATAAAGATTTGCAGTCTCAAATCCTCAGGAGCAGTTCTAATTTATCCTATAGTGTCTACCAGGAGTCAGAAACAGCTAATTACTATGCGGGAGAAATATAAGGCTGTCACCCCCATAAAGATTTACAAAGCCTCAGAAACTCTGTAAGATGTAATCAACACAATGGTGATCTATACAGACCTAGAGTTAGAAAACCAGACAAGAAGAACATGCTCAGCACATATTAAACTAAAAGAACTTGAGAAAAACATTCAACCCTGAGTTGTAAAATTAAAAGATTGTATGGGCAAAATATTGAACGATGCAGGAAGGTAAAAATATGATGGAAAGAATACACAGACAACCATTTCAGGAGGTAGCACCTGAGAAGGAACCAATGGTACTGAAGAAAGAAGTTTAAACAGCACTGAAAGCAGTAGCCAAAAATCAGGCACTAAGGATTGATAGAAT